TATGGTGTTAATGGAATCAATGGCAATGGATGAAAGAACCCAAAAGGAACATAGTGAAGAGAAATTGTGCTTGAAGACTGAACTCTGGAAGCACCAATATTAAAGGATTGGGCAGTGGGCAAAGAACCTCAAATTAGGCAGAGGAAGACCAGTCAGAGATATCTAAGTAGAGTATCAGAGAATATTCTTATGGCCATGGAGAGAGACTGTTTTAAGAGGGAAAGCATAGCCAGTTTCTAATGTTTCAGATGTGTCTTGTTGAATGAAGACTTTTAGATTATTCATTCAAAAAAGTTTTTATTCTTTCCATTTTTTCCATTTAATCAATTAACCAGGCACACTTGTGTTTGAGATGTAGAAGTAATCAAAATGGACAGAAGTCTCTACCTTCACTGAGCTTATTTTTTTAATAAAAGATAACAATCAATCAATCAATCAATAAGTAAATACAGAGGAGAAATGGATACCCTCTCTGAGAAGATGACATCTAAGATTTGAAGAACAAACATGGAAAGTTTTGGGGTATTTTTTTTGCCTGTGGAGTCTGATTTATTTTACTCAGCAGAATGCATTTGAGATTCACCCATGTTATTGCTTACATACACATTTTGGTCCTTTTTTAGAGTATTTATTCTTTATTGATTAAAAAATTATATATGTCTCCTTTTTCCCCTATTCGCCTCTTTCTGGCCACTTTCCCACCCCTCCAGTACATATCCTTATCCCCGTAGTGTCTGTGTCCATTGGTTATGCTTATACGCATGCATGCAAGTCCTTTAGTTGATCTCTTACCACTCACCCCCTCACCTGCCTTTCCTCTGAGGTTTGATCTGTTTGATACTTCTCTCTGTCTATCCCCCCCCCCCCCCGCATCAATTTATATTGTTCATTATATCCTGCAAATGAACATCAAGTGACATCATGTGGCATTTCTCTTTCTCTGACTGGCTTATTTTGCTTAGCATCATTCTCTTCAGGTCCATCCATGCTGTTGTGAATGGTAGGAGTTCCTTCTTTATTTACAGCAGCGTAGTATTCCATTGTGTAGATGTACCACTTTTTTTTTTTTTTTAAATCAATTCATCAGCTGATGGACACGTAGGCTGTTTCAAAATCTTAGTTATTGTAAATTGTGCTGCTATGAACACAGTGGTACATATATCCTTTCTGATTGGTGTTTTTTATCTCTTGGGACATATTCCTAGGAGTGGGAATTCCTACTGGGTCAAATGAGAGTTCCATTTTTGGGAGGAAAGCTTTTGAAGCAGAAGGAATAATCAATGTAAAAGCCATGAAGCATGAGCACTCCTAGGGTATCTTGTGAATAGCAAGGGATAGTGTGAGGGGGATAGGGTGAGGGAAGAAGAGATGACGAGGACAGGAGGTCACAGATAAAGGATATTAGGTCATATGGGGCTGTATAGGACATCTCCCAAGGGGTCCCAGACTGTGAGAGGGCACAGGCTGGGCTGAGGGACATCCCCTTCCCCACCCAGTGCACAAATTTTGTGCACCAGGCCTCTAGTTTAATAATAAATGGCACTGTGGACCTGGCACCCACAGAGCAACACTCAGCTTCCCCCAAGTGGGACACAGGCTTTGCCACCACTCCAGAGTGATATACCACCAAATCACAGCTGACACTGCTGAGACCCCATGGCACAAAATGTGGCTCACAGCCCAGACCCGGAAAAAGTGGCTGTGGGTGCTGGGTAATAATGTCACATAGCAATGCCTGGCTTCCTCTCTTTAGCGACTAGTCTCCTTGGAGTTTCTTCAGCCCAGGAATACAACTTACTTTATAGCCATTTCACTTTAACCAAATATCTGTGAAGCGTTTTCCCGTGCCCTATCTCATTTGATCTTTACAGAAGTCCTGGAGTAGGTAGATAAGCGACTCAGTCGAGTCCTATTTTTTTTTTTTTTTTTTTCATTAGCCAGAAAACGGAGATTTAGAAAGCTTAGAAACTTGACCTGAAAAAAAAAGAAAAAGAAAAGAAATGGTCGACCTTCAAAATGACTTCAGGTTGAATTTGGTTGACAATTCTATTATAGAAAAAGGGCAAATAGTGATTTTAAAATATTTCTTCTAATTAATTTCCTTTCATCGTGCACAAATCCATGCACCAGGCACTAGTGTCATTATAGCATTTTGAACATAGAAAGCTCTTAAACTGAATATCTTAACAGGCTCACTCCGATTACTAAAATGTGAGTAGACTAGAGAATAAGGGTGAAAGCAGGAAAAAAACAGTTGGTAGGTTGTTGTGGTAATCTAGTTAAGAGAATGTGGCTTTGATTAGCTTTGAGCTTGGTAAGAAGTGGTTGCTTTTGGGTCATATTTTAAGATCGAATGTGATATGCTTGAAGAATTGGAAGTAGGGTTGAGACAAAGAGTTAAGGATGATTTCAAGCTTTTTGGACTGAGCACCTGGAATGATGAAGTTGTAGACAGAGAACATGTGAAGAAGATCAAGACCTGAGTCTTATGTTTATTGAACTTAAAATGCCAATTAGCTGTGCAAGTGGAAATGTCAAGGGACAGTTGCATATACAAATCAAGAGTTTAGGAGAATAGTCTGCACTTCTAGGAGAGAGAAAAGTGGGAGTCATGAATATGTAGATGGTTTGTAGTCTAAACCTGGATAAGATTATTTATGAAGTGAACATAGGTATTAAATATAAAAGATTTACTCTTAAAGTAACCTAACATGTACTGCTCAGGAAGTGAAGAAGGACCTGCAAGAAAGACTGAGAAGGAGGAAATAGTAAAATAAGAAAAGTAACTTATTTAATTTCGTAAGAAGGATATTATTGGTTGACTTGCCAGGAGCAGCAGTAGAAGCAGAGTGGTGGGATTATAAGCCATAAATTAGTGGGCCAAATAGTAACTCAGAGATGAGGAAGTTGAAGCAGTGGTTATTTACTTACTTGTAAAATAAGTTTGATAGTGAGCAGAAACAAATAGGTGGTGGATCACTCAAGGATGGCATAGAATTAAGAAATGGCTTTTTGTTTGTTTCTTGAAATGGGGAGACAAATGACATCATAGGAAAAAGGGACAAAATCTGTGGAGAGCATGGAAAATACTTATGGAAATATGGTCTGGGGAGGCAGGAAAGGACATTTCCAGAGCATCATTATACCCTGTTTTGAAAGACTGAAAAACATATTTTGTACCTAGCAAATGAGATGGAGAAAGTAGACTTCTACTAATTTTCCATCAACTCATAATGAAAGGAGAAGTCCTTTTTTACTGAGATAGTGGGAAAGAATTAAGGATTGATGGAAATGTAGATGATTTTGAGGATGAGCAAAAAATAATTTGTTTATTCATTTAACAAACCTTTCCTGATCATTGACTATGTTCCATGTGTCTGATTCTATGTTCTGGAGCTGTAGAGTGAACCAAATAAATACATTTTGATATTGCTCTAAATGGAGTTAATTTTGTTGTGAAGTGTGAAGGTCTATGTGCCTGAAGGCTCTGATGTGGGTGGCAGAAGCAGCTAGATTACCTGCTGAGACAGGGATTAATGAGTTAGGGACTCCTAAGGAGAAGAGTAATGGTTTATGTCAGTTGCTAAAGGGCTTTGGGAAGAGCCCAGCAGAAACTGGAGGCTATATAATATTTATTCAGTAGTCCAACAATATGGTATGGAAATTTTCTCATTTAGTGTTCAAAAGCTGAGAAAAAGATATGAAGAAAATAAATAGCTTGGTTCTTTTAAGAACATATGTTTGTTTTCTTAGAATGTAATGGCTCTAGGTTCTAAAGTCTCATGAATTTAAACACTTGGCTAAGGTCTTATTTCTTTCCTATTAAATCTCCTTCAAAATACAGTATAATTTTTTGCAAGAACTTGAGGTGTCAATAATTGTTATATGTCTACAAAATGCAAGCAGTTCCTACCAAATTATGTGATGCTATGGGAATTCGCATATATAAAATGTATAAAGTATAAAACTTACTCTGTGTAGTAGCACTAACAGATATCTTATTAATAGGTTTGGGGAAAGGAGTGAGTGATTGTCTTAAGTACTTATGATACCAAACAAAGATTTGAACTACTACGCTATGTTTGGAATGTTGAGGTTGAAGATAGTTTTCTTTTTAAAAAATCTATTTTCTCAGGTTGTGTCATTCTTTTGAGTAAGTGACGACCTATTCTTTCATCCAGAGTCAACCTTTCACTGTAGTGATAATGTTATGGTTGGATTGGGGGAGCAATTAATAATAAAAATGAATTAAGCTTTTCATATTGAACATGCTGCTATTAGTAGGCCATAGTATTTCATTAATTTTAAATTAGTGTTCTCATTTTTCATATACTTATTTGTGTTTTTTTCTGTGCCCTTTTTTTTTTTTTTTTTTTTTTTTTTACATAACTACGGGGTATAACCAAGTGTTAGAGCATTGCTAATTGGCCCACATGGAGAAAGAATCAATGGTGTTGTCCTTTTAAATCCAGTTTGATAAATATTGAGAACCCACACTGTAGAAGGCGCTATGCCAGATACTGTGGAAGATGGATTGTTATAATTTATTGTAGTCAGTTAAGCTAACCACACAACCAAACAGCAGAATTATGTCTAGGAAGTTTTGGTTTCATGAATTTCAGGTCAGTTTATTTAAGAAATCAACTGATATAGGCCTTATTTTATTTGACATGTTTTCATGAATTTCATCATCCCTTTCTAGGAAACTGAACATTTTTATTATCAAGAAATATAGGCTGCAAACATCTACCAGTCAGAAATTCAATAATTCCATTTCCTGTCCTTAATAAAATTTGGGGACAATTTTCATATCAATTTTAGTAATTGGCGTAAGTAGAATGGTATTCATGAAAGTAGGAAAAAATTCTCATTAATTTTTTTTACCTCTAACTTTATACTGTAGAGTGAGTTTCAGTTCTTATTAAGATGGAATCTTCAGGATATCCAACATCAATACTAAAACGAAAAGTAAAGTACATGATTTTCTTGTAATTTTACAGCGCTTTGAACTCCAAGATTCAAGAAGCTCTTTGCTTCCTGAAGAGATTGTGAGAGTGGAGAGGATAACTGAAAACCATATCTCCCAAGCTTCTGTTACTGTCCGGATTGCAGAAAAAGAGGTGACCATTAAGGTAATGAGTGAGAGTTTATACTTTAAAAAAAAATGATTTAAGAAAGAGAAAAGGAGAGAGAGAGAGAGAGAGAGAGAGAGAGAGAGAGAGAGAGAGAGAGAGAGAGAGAGAGAGAGAGAGAGAGAAAGAAACATTAATGTGAGAAACATTAATTGGTTGCCTCTCTTAAGCACCATGCCTGGGGATTGAACCTACAACCTGGGTATATGTCTTGACTGAATAAAACCTGCCAACTTTAGGTATACAAGATGATGCTCCAACCACCTGAGCCACACTGTCCAGGGCCAGAGGTTATACTTTCTAAGATGTATCTGGTTCTGCCTATTTTTATGACCTAAATTGCCTGTATGATCCCCTTATTATTTTTCTTTGGCTCTATAGCATCTGCATATCTGTATCTATATTTATCTATGTCATGTATGTTTTAAACTGGAAAAGTTCAGGAGAAACAAAAGTTCAGGTCAAAAACAAAAGTTGACCTCTGAGAAAATGAAGTTAAGTGTTGATTAATGAAAGCATTTTGTAGTTTGATTCCTTAGTAAGAAACAGTTAATCTTTTCAACAAAATTTAGCAGCAGGGAACACTTTTAAAAAATATGTATATTTTATTGATTTTTTTTACAGAGAGAAGGGAGAGGGATAGAGAGCTAGAAATATTGATGAAAGAGAAATATGGACCAGCTGCCACCTGCACCACCCTTACTGAGAATATGCCCGCAACCAATGTACATGCCCTTGACTAGAATCAAACCTGGGACCCTTCATTCCGCACACCGATGCTCTATCCGGTCTTAGCAGGGAACACTTTTTAAATAAAATTTTTGCTAACTACATGGGACAGTTGAAAGAAGAGCTGTTTTAGTTGAACAGTTTTCAGAGGAGGGGATTGGTATTTGGTCATAGAGCTCCATTTGCTTGCTTTGCCTTCCTTTCTAACCCTTTCTTTGAGCTCCCTAAGAACCTTAAGAGGCAATGGGAAACTATCTCAGGGAAACCCAACTTGGAAAAAATCCTGACTTAAATAAATTGCAAATAAATAGAGGAAAGAAAAGGCTTGTCTTCTTATGTTGTGACAGACCAAACTTTAATCATAGACTTTTTGTTGTATTTTAATGTGATATCATCACTTTAAGCACCTAATCTGTCATTGGTTTTTGTCTGGAAAACAAAATAGGCTGGGCACTTAACGTGTTAATACTTATTCATGTTACTGTTTTACTCATTCATCAAACTTAACATTGATTATGTCTACTATGACCAGACTCTATTAGGCTTTACTAGTGCTACTGTGTACTAGTCACTGTATTTGTCTCTTTGTATATATTATGTCATTAAATCTCCCAATAACCCTGGAGGTAAGTTTTATTATCTTTCTTTTACAGATTAGAAAACTGATGTAAAGAGGGTAATCAATTCATTCATGATCACCAGCTAGGAAATATCACAGCTGGGACTTCTAGACAGGATTATTTGCCACTATACCTTTCTGTATCCTTCAGATGAATGACCTCACCAAGCTGATGGTCAAGGATAGCGGAAGATAAATTAGGACTGCACTGGAATGGCTATGGGGATATAGAGAAGGGGGTAATACAAGGAGTCCGAAAGAGTAGAGAAAGTTTCAGAGAGGAGGTGGTGGGACTTGAACTAAGTCTTGAAGTATGACATAAGAGTTTTCCAGTGGCTAGGGGTGGAAAGATAATAGGACATTATAGATATCCTGAACAATAAATCCAGAGACATGAGAAATGAGCAAGGTTTCATTATTTCCTTCCTTTTAGTGATAGTTTTCTTTTTTTTTTTTCCTTTTCTTTTTTACTTATTTATTGATTTTGTACAGAGAGGAAGGGAGAGAGATAGAGAGTTAGAAACATCGATGAGAGAGAGTCATCGATCAGCTGCCTCTTGCACACCCCCTATTGGGGATATGCCCGCAACCAAGGTACGTGCCCTTGACCTAAATCGAACCCGGGACCCCTCAGTCCCCAAGCCGACGCTCTATCCATTGAGCCAAACCGGTCTAGGCTAGTGATAGTTTTCTAACTTCATTGCCTCCACTCGCTTCCAGTTAGCCTTCTATGTTACCACCAGGCTGATCTTTTTAAAATGTCACTTCCAAACTTAAAATTCTTTATGGTTCATGTGTATATAGTATGATCAAGCCCAGAGATTCTCAGCAGAAGCATGGAGATCTTCTGATAGGAGACTAATAAGGAGGAGATAGGAAATAAAAGAAATAGGTAATGAGGAATTCGAGGAGAGATTTTAAGAACAGATGCTTCTGAGTGGTTAACTAAAACAAGAGTAGGAAAGGATTTATGGACATGGATTTCAAAAGTCAGCAGGTCATTGGTGACTTTGGAGAGTCCCAGTGGACTGATTTTAAATTCTGTGCTTATAACTGGAATTTGGACAAAAGTCTTCATTCTGAAGTAGTGACGTTGTTATTATAAGTTATAGATAAGATGAAGATTATATGATTCTTATAAAAATATATGCCAGCATGGGGCTTTCATTTTAGAGGGATGATTGGTTTGGAGGTTGGTTGATGATCATCAGATCTGTGAATGAGAAAATATTTGCTGCTCTATTGAAATATCAAAAAGATTATAGAATTGAATTGAGCAGGAAATTAGTAGGGGCTTTTAATGGCTTTTAGGCATTTTTACTTACTAATATTTTGAGAAAAACATACATTTATTATATTTACCTCCCTTTTATTACAGGTGCCAGCTGGGACTAGGCCATTTAGTCAACCTTATGCATCAGAACGTTTTATACAGACTTCAAGCCATAAACAACTACTGGCTGAAATGATGCAGTCTCATATGGTCAAGGACATATGTTTAATTGGAGGCAAAGTAAGAATGGCAACCTCACTGCAAACTTCTGTTTCCTGACTGTTGGTTGTTTTGATTTCTCTCTTAAAGTACTGTATTTCTGATTGTAGGGTTGTGGAAAAACAGTCATCGCTAAGAACTTTGCAGATACCTTAGGATACAACGTAGAACCTATCATGCTCTATCAGGTACGATGTCAATTTTAGCACTTATACTATACACATGTATGTGTAGATGATCGTCAGTAGAATTGATAGGTATTTTCCCTTTACTTATGACCTACTACTTGCAATGTAGAAAAACAACTGAAATAACAATAAAATTTAATTATTTGGAACTTTGAATGTATGTGCTAGGATATCTGGTGGGCACAGCATGCCAGAATCTTTTTTTCAAAGGGAGATTCATTATATGTGCATGTACAAACACACAGTACATTTAACCGTAATTTGGAATTCTAAACAAGGTGCATTTTAGCAGCAGTGAGATATAAATAAGTACTCATCAAATACGTTATTTTTTGCTATGGTAAAATATGTATAACATAAAATTTACCGTTTTTACATGTATAATTCATTCGCATTAAGTGCATTCATAATATTGTGTAATCGTCACCACTATCTATTTTTAGAACTTTTTATCATCCCAAATAGAAATTCTGTACCCATTAAACAATAACTTTCAATTCATCCCCTCCCTCAGATTCTGGTAACCTCTGTATAATTTTCTATCCCTGAGAATTTGCTTACTCTAGGTGATTCATATAAGTAGAATCACATACCTTTTATGCTTTTATCTCTAGCTTATATTACTTAGCATGTTGTTTTCAATATTTAGCCATGTTATAGCTTATATCGGAATTTCATTCACTTTTATGGCTGAATAATATTTGGTTGTATGTATATGCCCCTTTTTGTTCATTCACATACTGATAAAATTTTGACTATTGTAAGTAATTCCACTATAAATTATTATACAATAATTGTACAAGTATCTGTTTGAGTCCCTTGGTATTGCTGAATCATATTGTAATTTTGTGTTTAACCTGTTGAGGAGTCCATAGTAGCTGCACCATTTTACATTCCCACCAGCAATATACAGGAAGGTTCCAATTCCTTCATATTTTTGTCAATAGTTATTTTCTACTTTATACTAGCCATCCAAAAGGGTGTGAAGTGGTAACTCATTGTGGTTTTGATATTGAGCATCTTTTCATGTACTTATATGCCATTTGTGTATCTTACTCGTAGAAATTCCTATTTAAGTTTCTTGCCAATGTTTTAACTAGGTTGTCTTTTCTTGTTATTGAGTTGTAGGAGTTCTTTATGTATTCTGGATATAAATTCATTTTCATATATATGATTTGCAAATATTTCCCCTCATTCTGTGGGTTATCTTCTCACTGTTTTCATAGAATCTTTTGATGCACAAAGGTTTTAATTTTGATAAAATCTAATTTATCTTTTGTTGCCTGTGTTTTTGGTGTTATATTCAATAAATTATTGCCAAGTCCAATATTATGAATTTCCCCATGTTTTCTTCTAATAGCTAGCTTTATAGTTTTAGTACTTCCATTTATATCTCTGAGCCATTTTGAGTTAATTTTTATATATGGTATAAAATAAAGGTCCAGTTTCAATCTTTTGCATGTGAATATCCAGTTTTTCCAGCACTATTTGCTGAAAAGACTTTTTCCCCATGGGATAGTCTTGGCATCCTTGTAAAAAATTAGTTGACTTTATATGGAAGGGTTTATTTCTGGGTTCTCCATTCCATTGGTCTATATGTCTGTCATTATATCAGTATCACAATGTTTATGTTGCTGTAGCATTGTTGTAAGTTTTGAAATCAGGAAGTGTGAGACTTCCAGCTTTGTTTTCTTTTCCAGAATTGCTTTGCTATTCAGGGCCGCTTGAGATTTCATATGAATCTTAGGTTATATTTTTCTACTTATGAAAAAAAATGCTGTTGAAATTTAATAGGGATTGCATTGAATTTATAGATCACTTTGGGTGGGTAGCATTGTCATTTTAATATTGTCTTTCAATCTGTGTCCATGGATGTTTTTTTTATTTATTTATAACTTCTTTAAGTTCTTTCAGCAGTGTTTTATATTTTCAGTGTATAAACCTTTCATCTCTTTGGTTAAATTTATTTTTATGTGTGTTTTAGTAGATTATTTTAGTGGAAGTACACGTTGTACACGGTATGTTGAAACAGCAAACTTACAGCTTGTGTTTTTACAGAGTGACATTTTTTTGTCATGTATTTTTTGGTGATAATGAATCCTAAGACATTTTTATTCTTCTAATTTATTGATTTTATATATTAGTCTTTGGGTGATTTTGATATCTTTTTACTTTAAGAAGAGTCTCTTTTTAGTCTTTGAACAGTTTTGGAAGTGGTTGTAATCTTGTTTATTAACATTTTAGGATGCATTTTTTTGTTTTTAGTTTAATCTTTAGTTAAAAAACATTTTTATCTTTACTGAATATATTTATATATAAAATGTTCTTAATTTTTACTGGCCAGTGGACTCAGTGGTTAGAGCTTCAGCCCATGTACCAAAGGGTTCCGGGCTCGAACCCTGGCCCAGGTCAGGGCACGTGCAGGATGCAACGAATTGATCTACGATATTTCTCTTTCATTGTTATTTCTCTCTCTCTCTGTCTTTCCCCCTCCCTCACTCCCTTCCACTCTCTAAATAATATCCTTGAGTCAGGATTAACAACAAAAAGTTCTTATTTTAAAAAAATGACATTTAAACCAGCTTCTTTCAGTGACCTTAGATCACAAAAAATTTTGTTAACAACTCATATTTCAAATGATTATGTTGACGATACTGATTCGTGCTGCTTTAAGGTACTTTGTGCCTATTGGTTGAAATGGTCAGAATTTATAAGAAATTATAATCACATGGTACTGGTAACTTTTGGGTTATAAGCAAGATAATCTATTATAAAAGTTGTGTGAGAATTCCCCCTGTAATTAAATTTTTCTTTGTTCTGTGTAGTTTAAACTCATTCAGAGCACCAAGTTATTTAAAATAATTTTAGAAACAAAAGAGAAAACATCCTTCCTTTGTACAAAACTATGGTGGCTTTATACCCCTACTATTTTGTGAAGTTTTCATTGTCATATTTCAAGAAAGATAGTAAAAGATTAAAAAAAGGAGAAAAAAGGAGATAAAGGGAAATAGATAATTAACTGATTGGAAAACTAAGGTTCAAATATTTACTAAGAAGTACTTTATGATCTTAAAAGATGAAATTAATGAAAAAGCATGTGATCAAAATTATGAAGTCATGAAAAATATAAATTAAGGTGAAGGTACTTAAATTAGTGATACCCTGAGTCTTGAGAGAGAAACATGTAGGGAAAAGAAAATAAATGTTTACGTTGTACAGCCAGCAGCAAGTCTTAGAATTCACTGAAAATATTTTTTGAAATTAATTTTTATATGTTGATTCTAGGTCTGTTGGATTTTTTAAAGGGAAATAAGGAATTTGGGGGGGGGTAATATCTTTAACTTAGATTATGGAAGATGCTATGAAGAATACCCTACCCTTTTACAGAATTACCTCTCTTGATGTCTTCATCAGAGGTTAGAAGATAGGTGGTTAGCTCAGTATGCTAGTTCATCTGATCTTTGCCCTCCACAGATCATGTTAGAAGTGATCTGAGGAGGGCATTTTATCAGCTCATCAATCTCTTAACCATCAAATTTCCAATTTCCAGCTGAAACCGGTTTGGCTCAGTGGTAGAGCGTCGGTCTGTGGACTGAAGGGTCCCAGGTTCGATTACAGTCAAGGGCATGTACACTGGTTGCGGGCACATACCCGGTAGGGGGTGTGCAGGAGGCAGTTGGTCCATGTTTCTCTCTCATTGATGTTTCTAGCTCTCTCTCTCTCTCTTTCTCTTCCTCTCTGTAAAAAATCAATAAAATAAATTTTTTTTTCTAATTTCCAGTGAAAATACTTTTTTACTAAATACCGGGATAAAAAAATCATCGATATTATTGTAAATTAGGTTAAATTCTATTATAAATATACAAGTGACCCTGTGCACAGATTTGTGCACATTGAAAGGAAATTAATTAGAAGGTGGCTGGTGGAGTGGGACTGGGTGAGAGAGGCCGGACATGTCCTGGAGCCAACCTCCTGCTTGAAGGGCTTTTGCAGAGTGAGTGGCGTCCCTTTGGCAGGTGGGGTCCCTTGGCCTGGCCTGTGGGGATCGGGCCAAAACTGACTCACCAACATCCCCCAAGGGGTCCCAGAGTATGAGAGGGCACTCTGCAAAGATGCTGTCATGCAGGGTGTAAAATAGGTTAAATTCTATTATAAATATATCATATCCCCCTTATACGATCAGGATAAATAACCTTTAGAGGTGCCATTGCTTTAAAATCATATGGAAAAGGCCTTTTGAGGATGATATTTATTTTCTCTTTGACTCCATTCCACCTTGTTATTAGTATTATTTCTAAAATTATATACATGATTATTTTCTTCACATGAAAATAGAAATTCTCAGTGAAAGCTGGAAATTCTGCCTTATCTTTTTCCAGACAGTCCTGTTTCTACATCAGATTTCTAGTTAGTTTACAGTGATTTCTTTATTGTAGTGATAAACTATCCTAAGATCATATGCTTGAGCTGTTAAAACTATGGTCACTTCATTCTGCTATCCTTTAAAAGAAGAATGCAGCAGGAGATTATGTATATAGTCATCAATTCCAATCTCTCAGCTCCACTGCAAACTATCTAAAGTATCTTGTCATTGAGAATGTTATCTTTATATATGAAAGAACTATATATTTTTGGAGAGTGACAAGCTTACAAAACTTAAAATTTTTTTTAACTTTCATGTTCAGTTTGTTGATTAATGGGTAAACAATGGTAGGAAGATGCTACAATTAAAATTTATGGCAAGGCATTCTATTTCTTGATACACTTGAAATATGAAATCAGTCTATTCTAGCTTCTGCCACAGAATAAGATAATCTATAATAATAAAAACATAATATGTTAATTAGACCTGACATCCTTCTGGATGACCTTCTGGATAAAGCTGGGGTTGCTGGGGAGGTCTGGGTCCTGGGTGCCTGCTGGTGCCAGAGGGAAGCCAGTGTCGGCAGCTGGGGGAAGGAAGGCCTACTCTTGCACGAATATCATGCATCGGGCCTCTA